TAGGGAAATGTAGTTTATATAATTTGTTTTGCTTATAGGTACACACTCTAGAGAGTAAAACTGACATTTATGAGTTAATTTCTAAAAATATATTTTACGTTTCTCTCTTCTTATCAGGGAGGGCGATGCCCCAGCCCCCCCTATGGGCCGGCCGCCACTGCTTAATAGGTCTTACACCAATGTTTTTTAAGTTTTACAATGGTTTTACAGACTGAAAGAAGTTCTTCATTTATATAGTCATTTATCTAAATGCTAATTGCAATTCAAAAAAAGCTTTAACAGATCAGACATATGAGCATATACTGTCACTGCAGAGCTATCCAGGTGATGTCTGAATGTCTAAATACTTTATTTAATAATCTTGAGTAACTTTCTTCAAGCTTTACTAGAAATGGTGAAACTTACCTTGGAGCCGTTTCACCAGCAAAATCAGGCACCGCATCTTTAGATCGATCGCTCCTCATGGACACATTACTGGGTGCTGGAGATCTGCTTCCTGTTACCTGTGAACTACAAACAGAAGAGTTTGCAAACACATTAGCTAATTTGTAGCTTTTGACAAATTTGATACGCAAAAACTTATCAAAATAGTTTAGTGCTGTCTATGAAATGAAGCATAATTCTAACTGGAAAATTAATCAAGACCAGAAACATTGCAGTTTAGCATAAATCTAGACACCTCTAGCCATTGATAGAAAGACAGAAAACAGTTGTGCTCATCTTTTTTTCACACTATTGCCACTGGTAAAAGTAGGTAATGGTGGCATTAGATGTAGGAGTTACCCCTTGTTGGTTCAAGCCCCACCTCCTGCTTTCAGCATCATTTTGTCCTTAGACAAGACACTTCACCCGTATTGGCTTCTGATGGTGGAGCCTGTGTATGGCACGTTACCATCATTATGTGAAAGTATGCCTGAATCTAGTGTAGAGAGCCTTGGTCAAGTCTTCTAACTTGAAAAAGTGCTGTATAAGTACATTTACCATTATCTTATATACACAGTGAGGGAAATAAGTATTTAAATACCCTGTGATTTTGCAAGTACTCCCTCTTACAAATCATATAGGAGTGGTAACTGTGGATAATTCAGAATGATTTTCAGCATTCTCACTTATTGTTTTTCTGTTTATAATTATTATTATTCCGTAGGTTTTTGGTCGTTTAGTTCAACAGTTTTCAGCAGATTTAAACAAATTTGGTATCAAAACGTTCAGGAGACCTTTGCTATGACTTTTGTTAAAGATGTTTTTTTTTGTATTTTTTGCGATATTCAGCTTTTTCTGCGATTTGAGATGTTCTGATTTTCCCAAACAAATTCTTCTCACTCCCTCATTTTTCACTCAATTGAAATACATTTTACATCAAAACGTAGTTATTTTTGTCAGGATTCAGGAAATGTGACCGTCATTTGTGTGGTATTTACAGTTTTCCTGCAGTTTGGCCCAGACCGCGAAGAAGTCCACACTTCCCCAATAAAAAAATCCAATGAGAGACTTGCCAAAAATCACATCCGAAAATCCAATACGACATATATTTTCGTATCACTGCCATTTCTAAACTGTTTGATGTACAAATATGAAACTTAGCACTCACATTGAAGGAATTTTTTCAATATAATCTATGGTTTAGCTGTTTAGCTGACTTGTTCGGGCATAGGAAAACGTTGATTCTGAAAAAAATCCTCATACTAAAAAAAAAAACACATTTTGACATAGTCACCGTGGCCAAATAGCTTTTAGTAGAAACATGAAAGTTGGGGCAGTCGAAGCAGAAGGATGGCTGTTGCCAACAGTGAAAGAATTTGTTTAATACCTTTTACAGTTTTCGCTCACCACTCCTTTGTTCGGAGGGGTTTTTCAGCGGCTGAAAGCTCTGTGAAGCTGAGGTGCTGCATGTAATCCAATGAGACGAGCCGGTGGGACAAACCATTATGTTTGTCTTCCCATTAGGGTTGTGAAATAGCTACAGACATGAAAGTTACCCCAATCGGAGACAAGGGATAGCTGTCACTTAGACTAAAATAATTTTTTAGATATCATTTATGGTTTGCCTTCAGCACTCGTTTGTTCGGAGGGGAAGTTTTGCTTTTGAGAGCTCAGCTCTACCATGGAGCTGCATGTTATTTAATGAGACCAGCATGTGTGACAAACCTTTTTATTTCTCCTTCACATTAAGGTTTTGAATGAGCTACAACCATGAAAGTTACCCCAATCGGAGACAAAGGATAGCTGTCACTTAGAGTGAAAGAATTTTTTAGATACCATTTACGGTTTGTCTTCAGCACTCGTTTTTTCTGAGCTGTTTTTCCCATTCAAAAAAGCCTGAGAGTAAAGGAACGATAGTGCTGCACTTTTCTTTCTGTCACTGACAGGCTCGTTAAGCGTGGTCAAGGTAACCAAGCTTCAAAGGGATTTTACCTATGCCATTTTATACAGCGCATTTTAATTAATGGGGGGAGAAAACACTGATTTAACATTAGGAAATGGATACTATATGACTACTGGCAATGACCCTTCCCTTCACACGCAACCCTGATAGACGTTCAAAATAAGACTCCAGTAACCCTACAAAATAAAAGCCTCTATATTATACTTGTGTATTACTTGATGCAAATGGCTCAGCATTAAGACCCAAACTCTACCAGCTTGTTTCTATTAGACTCTAGGGACCTTTTCAAAACATACCCCAGAGCGAATTTCACAATAAAAGTCTCCCATGCTCTAATACAGCATCTATTCACCCAATAACATGAAAAATCAGTGATTCCATGATAGACTTTCGAAATAAGACTAAAGGGACTCTACAAAATAAAAGCCTCTTCCTTATGCACACTCATTCATTGTGCCGTATGGCTCCTAGCTATGACCCACACTCAACCAATTTCTTCAAATTACACTACCAAGGCCTGTTGACCACACACCTCAGTGCACATTTCTTAATAAGGCTCTAAGATTTACACTGTAATAAATCACCTGCTAACCTCGTAACATGCAGCCTAAGCCTGCCAACGGTGCTTTCACCACCACAGCGGCTTGTAACATGCAGGTTAGTTTTTTTTGATAAATTCAGCTCCTTAAGTGGTATTAGCTCTCTTTCTATAAGCTTCTCTCTCTGTCCTTCCTCTGCTTCTCATGGTCAATCTTGCACATAGGTTTGTAGATTTTCAATCCTCTAAGGATGACACTGTTTTGTTTATGCTGATCAGCCAACACATTTCAAATCACTTCAAATTGTTTTGCCAAGTCTTGATATTTCCACAATTTCTAAATTTTGATACTTGTTCAATACCATCTTCCTCAACATTTTACTTCCCATGCTTAAGCTACTCTTTTTGTTCAACCAGATAAGATTCAAGTTTTTCTTTGTAATTTATTTTCTGATTCAGCTCATTTAATACTTTTCAGCCTATGTTGTGAACTTTGACTTCATTCTGCTCTCTTTCTGGACAGGAATTAAGCTTTTCTGTTTGCTACTAATTCATAACACGCCTGACATGTTTCTGGGCAGTAGGTGGACCCCCTTCAAAATTTCTTTAGAAATTTTTCTAGAAACTTGGGAGACATTATATTAAGACCCTTCTAGTGCACACATTAAAGACATTTTTTGATATTATGTATGATTTGGCTGTGCAGCTTTTAAGATGAGTTTGTTTCTGCCATTTTACTGCCAAATGATTCTACCCTACAAAATCTTCAGATGATTCAATTGTTTTCTGCAGTTTGAAGTTTCTGATGACTTCCTATCACATTTTCATATGTTCTTCAAGTAATTTCAGCTTTTTTCATTCAGCAGAAGCATTCTCACTTGCTGTTTCTACGAAACAGCTTTTTCTAGTTTGCATGTTAAGCTGCAAATTAGTAATGAAACACCTGTAAAAATTAATGTTAATATTTGTTACAGTAGCCTTTGTGAGCAATTACAGGAGTCAAACATTTTCTGTTCCTCATTTTCACAAGATTAGCACACACTGCAGGAGGGATTTTGGCCCACTCCTCCACACAGATATTCTCTAGATCTGTCAGGTTTCTGGGCCGTCACTGAGAAACAGAGTTTGAGCTTAATCCAAAGATTGTCTGTTGGGTTTAGGTCTGGACACTGGCTAGACCATTCCAGAACATTGATATGCTTCTTATGGAGCCACTCCTTGGATTTTCTGACCCATCTACAACCCATCTTCAATGCTCTGAGGGAAAGAGGCTGTTCTCCAAAACAAACTCTTTGCTGATTGGCGGGATTTCAAATAATTAAATAAAACATTACGAAACAATGAAAAGAGACATATTTTAGTGAGACTTTAAGGATTTCATTCAATATAATAACCTGATATACCATCTAGGAAAAAGGTAATTGTAAAACAGTCTTAATAGGTCTTGGACTAATATTTATTTAAGTTTTGCAATGGTTTTACAGACTGAAAGAGGTTCTTCATTTATTTATCTGAATGCTAATTGCAATTCAAGTAGAGGTTTAACAGATCAGACAAAGTTTAACATGTACTGTCACTGCAGAGCTATCTAGGTGAGGTTTGAATGTCTAAATACTTTATTTAGTAACCTTGAATAAACTTTCTTCAAGCTTTAATAAAAATGGTGAAACTTACCTTGGAGCCGTTTCACCGGCAAAATCAGGCACCGCATCTTTAGATCGATCGCTCCTAATGGACACATTACTGGGTGCTGGAGATCTGCTTCCTGTTACCTGTGAACTACAAACAGAAGAGTTTGCAAACATATTAGCTAATTTGTAGCTTTTGACAAATTTGATACGCAAAAACCAATCAAAATATTTTAGTGCTGTCTATGAAATGAAGCATAATTCTAACTGGCAAATTAAGCAAAACCACAAACATTGCAGTTTAGCATAAATCTAGTCATCTCTAGCCAGTACTCGAGTTGAGAGAGGATGAGGGGTTATGGCATCCCCCTTCTTAAAAAAATATTAAAAATTATCACCCTTCTTAAATGACCTGTGACATTTTATCATTGAATGTGTAAATGTAATGGCTGTTCCCCAAAATATTGTGATACATGGCTCCGGTCATCCTCTCCTTAATACAGCACAGTTCCCTTGTCCCATGTGCAGAAAAACACCCCCAAAGCATGAAGCTACCACCCCCATGCTTCACAGTAGGCATGGTGTTCTTGGAATGGTGCTCATCATTCTTCTTCTTCCAAACAGGGTTAGTGCAATTATGACCAAAAAGTTTTATTTTGGTCTAATCTGACCCGTGGCTTTCTCCCATGACTCCTCTGGATTATCCAAATGGTAAATGGCAAACTTAAGACAGACCTTGACATGTGCTGGTTTAAGCAGTGGAACCTTCCGTGCCATGCATGCTTTTAAACCATGACGTCTTGGTGTATTGCCAACAGTAACCTTAGAAACTGTGGTGCCAGCTCCTTTCAGATCATTGACCAGCTCCTCCCGTGTAGTTCTGGGCTGATTTCTCACCTTTCTTAGGATCATTGAGACCCCATGAGGTGAGATTTTTCATGGATACCCAGTCCAAGGGAGATTGACAGTCATGTTTAGCTTCTTCAATTTCCTAATAATTGCTCCAACAGTTGATCTGTTTTAAACAGGCTGCTTGGCAGTTGCCCACTATTCCTTTTCAGACTTATGGAGGTCTACATTTTTTTTCTCTAGTGTCGTTGGACAGCTCTTTGGTCTTATCCATGTAAGTAGTTGGAGTCTTATGCTGTGTCTGAATGTCTGCTCTAACCTCTAAATCCCTCAATCACTATATAAAGCGGGGACTATATAGTGAACTTTATAGTGAACCGTTTTAACTCAGATGATCAGTACTTGTCACTCCCTGTTGATCATGTAACTCTGCCTTTCCCCACGGTGCATGCACCATCTTTGTCATTTGTCGCCGCAACAGCAAATCCCATGATGCTTTGGGAGGAGACCTCTTGCAAAGCAATCTGGGATATATTTGCTCATCTTATAAACATGGATGGTCACTACTTTTCAAGGTGCATTGTGGAAAATTTAGTGTCCACTACTTTTTTAACCACTAGACATTCTGACACTCATCTAAAATGGCCTAAGTAGTTTATAGTTCCCTTTATAGTGATTATGGCAGACGTTCCGACTCAGCAATAGTGATTGTATGGGGCGGGCAGGTGTCTTCATACAGCTAACATCCTCAAACAGGTGGGTCTAATTTAGAATAATAAGAGGTGGACGATTTAGAGGCGGACTAACAGGTGTTAGAGGGACAGACTCCTTGCTGATTGGCAGGTTTTCAAAAACGGAAATAAAACATTACGAAATAATGAAAAGAAACATATTTTAGTGAGACTTTAAGGATTTCATTCAATACAATAACCTGATTTGCCATCTAGGAAAAAGGTCATTGTAAAAGAATCTTAATAGGTCTTAGACTAATAATTTTTTTTAAGTTTTGCAATGGTTTTACAGACTGAAAGAAGTTCTTCATTTATTTTGTCATTTATTTATCTGAATGCTAATTGCAATTCAAATGAAGGTTGAACAGATCAGTCATAGTTTAACATGTACTGTCACTGCAGAGCTTTCTAGGTGAGGTTTGAATGTCTACATACTTTATGTAGTAACCTTGAATAAGCTTTCTTTAAGCCTTTATAAAAATGGTGAAACTTACCTTGGAGCCGTTTCACCAGCAAAATCAGGCACCGCATCTTTGGATCGATCGCTCCTCATGGACACATTGCTGGGAGCTGGAGATCTGCTTCCTGTTGCCTCTGAACTACAGACAGAAGAGTTTGCAAACACATGAACTAATTTGTAGCTTTTGACAAATCCTATATGCAAAAGCCAAAAATAGTTTAGTGCTGTCTTTGAAAAAATATATAGATTGAGTTTTTAAATCTTTTTTTCTCTCATTACTAACATCGGTAATATAAAATAAAAATAAAAATGAGTGAACTTGATTTGATGATAATCAGATTGAGCCAAAATAACCAGTTAAGAGTCCTTAATGGCATCCTTGAAAATAGTTTATCTTACTTTTTTGTGTGTGGGGTGGGGGCATTGTGCTTCATTGTTATATTTACAAATATAATCTAACACGTCATGACAATGGACTTTATTTGATAAGATAATTACTGCTCTCCCTGCTTCAGATGTAAGGTTTGTTCATCAATGCTAGTTAAATTATTTACTAATGATCTACTAACCTGAACCATTTATAGGTAAATAAAAGGTCAAAAGCATTATCTTTAAAGGATAAACACATATTTGTACAAACGTTTTAATTGGTATTTGCTTGTATTTTGATTTTTTTGTATAGGCTCAGCATTACCTGTAAAACAGCTCACTGGAGACATCCATTGGCTCCGTGCTACTCGATGAGCAAGACTCTGACAGTCGCCTCTTTTTCCTTTCAGCCATCTCTGCTGCAGAAGCTAAACTTAACAAAAACATGTAAAAAAATTAATTAGTGTAATGATTTTGATTAGAATTTTTAAGAGTTAAACAACAGTTTGACAACAGCTGGTTTCTGTCCAGTTGGACAGTATTTTATGTAGAGAGCCAATCAAAATTATCTCCTTCTGTTTATTAATGTCAAATACTGAGACTCTTCACTCTTCCACCATGAGGATAAAGTAACACAAATTCTTCCTAAAAGTGCTAAAAGTGTAGTGCATGCTCTAAAGCAGAGCTTTCCTAATATTTCAGCCTGTAAACCGCAAACAATGTCAGAGATTAGGATTATAGGCAATGTTACAAATAACAGCGTTATATAATAAAGAAGTTATTAACTGTGTTTGTTTTTCATTGAAAAAGTAATCTAACTAATTAACTAACTAACTAATTTCAGACATGCTCCTGAACACCTTCTGACATCAACTATAGTGACTGTACACCCCCCGCAAAAAAAAAAAACACACACCATTTCCATGTGCTTCTCAGCTATAGCTGTATATAATCTGCAAATCTTTTATCTGCTGTTATATGTCATCATTATGTATTATAACCCCACTAAAATATATATATATATATATATATATATATATACAATCCATATCCTAACTTTTCCGTATAGTCTATATAGTTTTTCATATTTATTTATTTTATAGCCTCTTACAATTATTCTATTTATGTATATCATTTATAGTCCATACGTACATACATAGTCTCTGTGCACATGTTAATTAATATTCATATCCAGTGCAGCACTTCTGGATAGATGCAAACTACATTTCCTTGGTTTGTACTTGTGACAGTATAATGACAATAAAGGTGAGTTATATACCAGCAGTGCCGGCCATAAACTCACTCTCTCTACAGCAGGGAGAGATTTACTGCAGGCATTTATTGTCAGAATTTGATAGCCATTGAAGGCTGTCAATATGCAAAAATAGTTTTAAAACATTGTTCCTTTATTGTAAAGAAATAAACTAATCACATCTACATACATAAAAAAAATACCACAGTTAATGCTAATTGTTTTCAGATGTGTAGACTTTTAAATGCATGAATAGTGAAACATCTAATATTCCACATCTGAACCTCCAGGGGTAATTGAAGTTCCAATTACTGATTCATTTACTTCATTGATCTCATAGTGGAGAAATTTACTCAGAGAAAGTTTTTCAAATTCTTAAAGATTTTAGATCATAAAAAGTAACCGCATAGTTACTCTGGCTAATAATGGGTTACTTTGAGCAAGAAAGAGGTTCTATATAATGCTGTACAAGGATGAGCAGGCAGCTGAGACAGAGGGATGTGTGATTGGCTGAGGAGCGTAATGTGGGCGGGACCTGATCATGCCTTAAATACAGAGGAGAGGACCTTAGAAACGCACAGAATGAGAAAATCACTGATTTCGGAGCTTAGTTACTCTTTTAAGGAAGTAAC